CTAGGCAGAGTTTCTGATGTTGTTTCCTATAGGCATGACATCTAATTGTTTAAGAGCTGATGTTAGAAGCTTGTAGGCATAATAACAAATGAAAACACATGTTAACACTCGTTATAACATAAGTTGAACTGGATCATATCCTATAGGCATGGTATCTACTTGTGAAGTTGATTTTAAGACCTATAAACATGATTTCTATTATTGGAACTACTTGAAACTTGGAGGCATGATTTCTAACATGGTAAGGCAAACATAGCAAATATAACATCCTATAGGCATGGTTTCTACCCATATTACCGCACAAATATGTAACTACCCACCCTTTTCACTAGTTACCCTAATATTCGTTTACAAATTATTACAGACCAAATGAATGAATTACATAAATAGATAAAAAGAAAAGAAGAAGCTACACTATAGGGAGCCTGAAGCAGGCCCAAGTGATTTCCCAAGACCTCCAATAGCCTCAAATGCCAATTTCAAAGACAATAACATTGTCTAGGTACATTAAAGTTCCCTAAGGATCTCAAGAATCCCGGGCAGTGCTCACACCTAAACTTTGTAACCAAATTGAGTAAGTGCAGTGTGAAAGGACCAGCCTCAATGTGCCAGAGTTCAGAGGGTTCTCAAGAGGATCCTAAGGCAGTACACACACTGGAGGGGGCAGAACCTAGTGACTTAGGAGTAGAGTGAGAGTGCTTGACATAGCTTGAAAGGTTTTAGTGGGAAAACAGTGTTAAAAAGAGATTTGCTTGAAATAGTTTTGTAAGAAAACACATAGGGAATTATTAAATAAGACAGTTTAAAAAAGGTAAGTTGACTAACAATCAATCATACCAAATATATAACCAGAAAGAGGTTCATCAGCACTTCAATACCTAAAGTCAAACAGGTGCACACATCCACTTAGGGGTAATGGGGGTTTGGGTTAGGCATAGGGCACATAGTAAGCACAGATGCACATAGGTACAGAATCAGAGGAGCCTTAAATGGGGTCAAGGCTTTTAAAGTATAGCATGAACTAGATAGTTAATACAGAATCAACAGGCTTAGGATAGCCAATTACTTCATACAGGAAGCTGCCCAGGGATCAGAGAAACATAGTCACATTGGGTCATACTAGAAGAGGATCTTAAGGGGTATATAGCATGCAACAAAGAAGACAGTGAAGTATGCATGTTAATTGCAGGTTGAACAACAAAACCATAGATAGAAGCATATTAGAAACATGACAAATTGAAGTAATATGAGAAGCATATTGTTTTGGGACTTGAATTAAAATTGGAACTACCGGTAAGGTGATAGTAAGCACAAAGTGAAAGAGAAACCAGTAGTTAGCCTTGGCTTGCAGCCGGCTGACTTTAGACAGTAGTAAGTAACACAATAGAGAGCAGAAAGTTTTTAGTATGAAAGAGAGAGTTTTTTGAACCAATCTGTTAGTGTTTGTGTCAATGAGAAAGTAGGTATATATAGTAGTTCGAAACTAGGTAAAATAAGGCAAGAATCACAAAAGTATAGTAATTATGGAACTTAGAACCAATTAGAGTAAAATCAGTACAAGTATTCCCATAAGTTAAGGGAATCCGTTCAAACGGTAAGAACGAGTAACAAATAAGGAAAGAAATAAATGTATGACCAATAAGGAAAAATTTCAAATTCAGTAAGTATAGGGTAAATAATTAGGGCTAAGTTTAGAAAACTCTAATTAAGGAGATAATCAGTAGGAATAAAATACTAATGCGGACAAGGTAAGCAAATCAATCAATTTGAATATAAAGAGTAGGAATCGAAGGTTTAAAGGAAGGTCTTCCAATCAAACCATAAAATAGGAAATCCAGAATCAATCAAAAAAAAAGTCACGATTCTGTGTTCAACATATAAATAGCGTAAGATAAGAACAACAGACATAACAAACACGATGGTTAAACAACACTGATAGAAAGAAGCAAGTCTTGAGCAGTCAAGATGGACACAAGCACATAGAAGTGATATAAGTTAGGCTAAAAGCTCAATAGGAACATATTCGAGGCAAGATAGTCATAAAACCTCAAACAAGAAACGATCAGTCATGCTAATACACAGAACCAAACGAAGAAACCTAGAAAATTAGGGCTTTCAACATAGACGAGTTGAAGAGGTTGTAAAATCATAGAATCAGTCAAAAATATGCAAGAAATAGAAGTTTAAATACAAAGAATCAGTTTAACAATATTTTATAAGAAGTTCTGAAACCCTAATTTTTAGAAGAAGGTGAAAAACACTTGAAATCAATGATTCTTGCAAAAGAGTTCCAAGGACAGCGTAAAATATTAAAGAAACAAACTCAAATCATCTTAGATCTATACAGATCTAAGAGATATAGGAAGAAATTAGGGTTTCAGAAGAAACTCATAGAGAGATGAAAGAACATGTCTAGAATCCCAAGGATCGTAACAGATACAACATGATTTTGCTCGAAATCACGCTGGAGTAGTCAAGAACAGACAAGTGACGAACCCTTGATGCAAGTCGGAATGGCCCTGGGCCCTTGAAGACCTTAGAGAAGGCAGACATGGCATGAGAGAAGCCATTGGAGGCTTAGGAGACGATGAGAGGTCACCGGAGATGACCGGAGAAGAGAGGTCGGCGGTTGAAGGGCTAGGGTTTGGTTGAGAGTTACTGAGAGAGGAGAGGATCTTAGGGCGGCGGATGTGGGAAAATAGTTAGGGTTGGGGGGTCGTTTGGAATAAAAAAGGCAAGACTGAACGAGGGTCGTTGATCTTTTAGATCAACGACCAGGATTTGATAGGTTTTGGGTCGGGTAGGTGCATTTAGGGCCTGGGTTGGGTTATTTAATCCGAAATTGGGCTGGGGTGTTGGGTTCAATTAAGGCCAAAATTGAAATGCAATTTGGCTAGATTTTAAATAGCCAATTTATCCCCATATAATTTATAATGAATAACAGATAATTCCTAGAAAATAATTTGTGTACTAAAATGATTTAAAATATATATTTAACATTTAAAAATATAGAAGATCAATTTATGCATATAAAACGTAATTGTACATTAATAAGGCTAATATTGTAATTATATGCAAATTAGCTTTAAAAATGCAAAAATACAATTATAAAAATGCATTAAAAATATTTTAACAATATTTTGGCATAAATATAGAATTTAGATGACTAAATTAGCACAATAATAATTTGAGGGGTAATTATCGAGGATTTTATGAGTAAAATGGGAGGAAATAAATCAATTTAAAATCTTTAAAATTATAGAAAAATTATAAAACCCTTGTGCATGCTTATATATGCATATATATATGCTATTTTAAAAGTATTTATGCATATTAAAATATATAGGAAAAAATTGGGTATCAACAGTCTACTATTCTGCACCTGCACAACAGGCACTGCTTCTGCGCAAGCGCAGGTGCGAGACTAAACGCGCTTCTGTGCACAAACCTGCTTTTGCGATCACAGCTTCCGCTTCTACGCACACGCATAGGTGCGCATGTTCCCCAGCCAAGCCTTCATTCGCTTCTGCGACCAATCGTCTGTATCTGCGGACTCGCATCTGCGTCCATTCTTCCGCATATGCGGTAACACCAGAACCAGCAACCTTCAGCAATGCAACATGAAACGAAAATAATCCTAGCCTCGTCCGAAACCCATCCGGGCCACTCGGGACTCCGTCCAAATATACCAACAAGTTCAATAATATAACGTGGACCTACTAGAGGCCTCTGATCACGCATAACAACATCGAAATGACGAATCGCACCCCAAATCGAACTTAATGAACTTTGAACTTTTTAACTTCCATAACTCGTGTCAAAACATAGCAAATCAACCCGTAATGAATCCAAATTTTGCACACGAGTCCCAAATGACATAACGAAGTTATTTTAATTCCCGGAACCACAATCCGAATCCGATCTTAAAAAATCCACTCCCGGTCAAACTTTTCAAAAATCCAACTTTCGCCATTTCAAGCCAAACTCGACTATGGGCCTTCAAATCACAATCCGGACACGCTCCTAAGTCCGAAATCACCCAATGGAGCTAACAGAACCATCAAACCTCCAATTCGATGTCAAATATTAAAAAGTCAAACTTGGTCAACTCTTCCAATTTAAAGCTTCCTAGTTGAGAATCATTCTTCCAAATCTATTCTGAATAACTTGAATACCAAAACCAACGATTCACATAAGTCATAATACATCATACGGAGCTACTCATACCCTCAAACCACCGAGCAGAGTGTAAATGCACAAAACGACCGATCGGATCGTTACAAAGTATAGCTTATATCAATCACATACCATGCTGATAGATGAAAGAATAATAGCAAACAGTTTCCAGTTTTACATGTAAAGATTAGCCACAACAAAGTCCTCACCCATAAAAGCTGGAAGTAGAACACGTCGAACATTTTCCAATACATAGCACAAATTCCACATTTCCAAGTTCAAATGTCTCAAAGCATGTAGTGCAGTCAATGAACAATAGAATACATGCAACAGATTATAAAAAAAATGTTGGCTAAGACAAACACACAATTGAAAGGAGTCTTATTTAGATGGAGCAACAAATTATAATAATGAATTGTACACGGAGAGATGACAAAGAAAAAAGTTTATAATTGAATCCCCTAATTTAAAGTATTAATAATGAATTATACATGGAGAGATAACAAAGAATATGGAAAAAGGAGAAGATTGAATAAAAGAAGGAAAATGGTGCAATTGCATCTCCTAATTAAGGAACTAATAGTTGATTGTATATAAATTATAAGCCATCCTTATTTAGGACGGGTAGTATATAAAATTAAAACAATTTTAATAAATAAATTTTAAATATCGTATAAAAAGGAAAATTCCCATTTCCCTTCGTACTATCTAGTCGGACTTTCACCAAAGGGCCATAATCCAAAAGTCAGTATATATTTCATTTCGGCCCATTAGGCCCGGAAGTCCTCAATGGAGTAAAGAGCAGTTGTTTTAACGAATCAGATCTCATGGCCTACTTCGGATACAAGCTTGGCAGAAGGACGCGTTGACATATTTTTTTTTATAATTGATGCTCGTCGGAGCCGGCGACGGAGATTGGCGGAGGAATTTTCACCGGCGCTATTCGAAATTCAACTCTCTGAATACAATCAAATTTCCTTTTTCCTCTCTAGGATTTCAGTCCGAGAGATGCCAATTCCTTGAATTGTAAAACTGTAAAAAATCATCTTATCAGTTTGGTGTCGGTGGCGGTGTAATAGCGGCAAACAAGAAAAAGGACTCGAATTGAGCTGATATAATATATATGGCTTACAGGAGAAAGCAGCAGGTGCCTAAGGTTTCTACATTTACGAGCGATTTTGAGAGTCCGGCACCACCACCACTTCCGGATGAGAGTTCATCTTCGTCGTCTGCTTCTTCATTGGCTGCTAAAGCCATAAGAGCATCATCAGCTTACAAAGACTCTTCTCTTTCCTCCGCTTATGGTCAGTCAGCTCTTTCGTCTCCTCGCGGCGACTCGAATCCGTTACGATCTTCTGCTCCGGTTTCAACACCACCGTCATCAGCATACAAAGACTCATCTCCTCTCTCCTCCGCGTATAGTCAATCAGCTCGTTCATCTCCTCGCGACTCAAATCCGTTACGATCCTCTGTTCCGGTTTCGACAGCTAAGGTTAGCTCTATTTTGCCCTTAGAATTATTAAGCATAATACGATAGAGTTTTTGCTTGGCATTTTACTTGCTCGGTTTCACATGCTTGGTACGACTGCTGTTGTTGGCATTTGCCTCATTTCAGACACTTAGTATCTTTTTGGAGAATTTAGGCAGCTATATGTTGCTTTTGTTTTCATAGTAGAAATACCTGTTAAGATGAACCTTAATCTGCCGCCACCAAGGATGTAACCTAGTGGTCTATGAAGTAGGAGGAGGAAAATAACCATGAGGTCTGAAGGGTGTGGCCTAGTGGTTAATAAAGTGGTCCCATTTGCCTAGCCTTGATGGACAGAGTTAGCGTACTTGTGCTACAGAGAGGTGGCAGGTACCCAGTGGAATCGAGATGAGAGCATTATGGCTCGGACACCACCGTCATTAAAAAAACGAACCTTAATCTGTTGTTAAGAAAAGAACTCACTTTTATGATGTTGAGATATACTTTTAAATTGGTGATACAAGTAATAGTGATAAGTGTTGTTTTTTTATCTTGCTTTTCCTTATACCTACGCAAGTATATAATTGTAATGTTACGTAATTGTACGCCTGAAGGTCTAGGAGTGGTTTTATAGGAAAATACGGAAGGAGGACTTTTAGCATTTCCTCTGTAAANTGGGGATTATAAGTCCAGTAATACAGATTTTCTTTTCTCCATCTGCAATTTCAAGTCCTAGCCTTAGATTACATGAAAAAAGGATCATGCGTCCACGTTCTTGGGAGGAAAAAAATGGAGAGGAATGGGGAATGAGAAAGGATCGTGCCACCAGCTGGGGGGATGGTGAGAAAGGGTAAAGGGTTGGGCAGAAAGTGACTCACAGAAGTTAACTGATCTTGTTATCCGTTGTTTGACTTTCTCATTGTGTCTTTTACCATTGAAATGGATGTCTTGTTGCTGTAAGATTACTCTTCTTAAATGCAGGATTCGTCCAACTATGAGTATACGTCAATGAAAAACTTGGGTGAATCAAAACAAGGGATTTGGGGAGTATTGGCTAGGAAAGCTAAATCGATCATTGATGATAATAATACAGATCAACCGCATGTAAGCGAAGTAAGAACAAGGATGCAGCATATGCCTGATAGTGCGACCATTGGTGAGGTAAGTAATTTTTGTTGAAATTGAAAATTTTATGATTCAGTGTTGCAAAATGTTGTCTTTGTCTATGTGGTAATAGTCTATGAGATAGCTTTTGGGATTACAGATTCTAAAACTTGCACCTTTATTTCATACATTGCAGCAATATGACAGAAAACAATTGCCTGGAAGCCGTAAAAAAGTTGAGGGCCATAAATTTCAGAAGGGACTAGATGCTCTTACATCTTCCCTTAATTATATTGGTGGGACCATCGGGAATGCTTTTGAGGTATGCTTTTATATGAAGTTTCTTCCAATATTTGCCATCAAGACATGCCACTTATTTTTTTTTTTTTACCTTTTTAATGTAATAGTTGTGTGGATATGAGATGTAAATAAAAACTTTTATCAATCATGATGCCTCAAACCCAAATTAATTTAGTGGTGTATGTGGATTGTTACTGTCATGCTCCATTCAGGTCAATTTCATTCCAGTAATAAATAGTTAATATATATTGCATATAAAGCTAGAGGTTCTTAAATTTCACGCTTATCCCTGTATGTACATACAACTCTTTAACCACAATAGAACGGCTCTTGACAACTAAGTTGCTCGGACTTGGGTGCGGGTATCTGATATGGGTGCGGATCTAGAGGTGAGATCCTTCATGATGAAAATTTCAAGATTCGGGAGTACGGATACAGATACGGCTAAAAATAACTCAAATATCTAAAACTAGAGTTATAAAATAGGTTTAAATTATAAAATTTGTCAATACTATAATAATTGCACAATTATCTTCATTTACAATTATATATTGATTTTTATAGTTTTGGATTGGCACTCTAATTCTTATAGAAATAAAATTGTTGATGGTTTAGCAAACGTGTCATGCTTTCACTACATTGATTTGCTTATAGGGAAGAACAAATGGTATAATATTTTTTAGTAGATAAACTCCAATATAAAGTCTCATTTAGGAACTTAATTACCCCCTGCACTTTCCCCAATTCCCCTCGTCGAATGCTTGTCTTCTGCAAATCCCTCTTTGAAGCTCTCTACTTCTCTCCTCCAAAAAGAAAAAAAAAAGACGCAAGAATTGCATGATCCATTCAAGGTTTTCCCCAACGGTGGCATACCTGCTTCAAATTTACCCTAGCTTTTGTTTTAATGTTGTAAATCAATATGCAGTTAAAAATAATTTTTCCATAGCTTTGGTTAAAGTACCCAAAATCGGTTAACCATATTCGATACGGAACCACACCCATCTGTGTCGACGCGGATGCAACAGGGATTTTGAAGAGTCCGTGCAACATAGCTTGACAAACATTGGACCTATCATAAGTGTAACAACGACAACTAAACCCTAATTAACTAGTTGTTATCACCAATATGAATCCTTTGCTTCCACTGTGTTTGTCTTTTTGCGATGCTCGTATTTATTCCAATAGATTTTAGGTATTTTAGAATAACTTCTATTTTCAACAACGTCAGAAGCTAAGTAGCTCAGTTTTGTTAGGAAGAAAATTGCACATTATGTTGCAATATAGGCTTTAGTTCTTTCATTCATAAATGCGACTAGCCAATTTAAAAGCCTGATAAATGTTTTTCTTATGTGACAGTAGAAAACCTTGTAGCTAACTGCCTCAGATTCATCAGTACTAAGTCATTTATCTGCTGTTGATAAAAGGGTGGTGGGTGGGTGGTGTGAGGGAGCTGGGTTGTGAATTTAAAATTATATCATTTGAGGGGTGCAAGTAGTGGTTTCAGGCAATGGGGGTGATCTTAAAGCTAGCACCCAATAGGTTTTGACAGGAGATGGTAATTTCTAGTGATAGCATTAAAGTTCCTGAGGAAAAGAAATGGAGTACAAGCTTCGGTATTGACTGAATTGCAGATAAATGGATTATGAGCTGCAAATGGCTCAATGATAATGCTTTTTTCCAACTTCTGTTGATGCAAGCAGCTATTTTCTGACACTAAAAAAAAAACTAAAAGATATAAACAAATTCATAATAAGTGAGACGAACTTTAGTTGTGCTGAATCTGAATTTTTGTGCTTAGAAAAAATTCCTCTGGATTTATATTATTGCATATGTATTAAATGTTTGCGTGAGGCATATTCAATGTGTTGAGCATCTTCATTTGCCATTTTGCAAGACAAGAAACTGCTAACACGGGCTTTTCATCATCAATATGCTTTAATACTTATATTGCACTGTACTAGCGAGGCAAACATGCTTTCTTACCATATTTTTATCAAAAAGGGACTTTGGATCTGTTATTTTTAATCAGGTAGTTAACATCATTTACTGCTAAGTGCTATTTTAAGAACACTTCGTACTTACAATTTTTGCCTTACTGAGGATGGACTACTAAGTTTGGACTCCAAAGCAGTGTGTGCAAATATTTTTGCTCAACTGTTATCCAATAGCATGGTTTGCTGCTACACTTCTATTACTTTTGTTCCATCAGAGTTTTTCTTTTTTGATATTGTCATCACCTAGTTGTTTAAATATATTAATAGCAGCAACAGATAGAACATTTTCCAATGCCTGTTCTTCTTTGGGTTAAGGTTATGATGTTATTATTATTCTTTATGTGCACTCAAGTATATTGTGTTGCCTCGTAACGATCAATATTGGCTTCAGCACCCACCTCCTGCCTCGCTTTGCTTAATAGCAGTTTGGATGATGCCGATTTTCTTATTAAAACTGAATATCTGGATTTACTTTTACAGGAGGGTCTTGCAGTTGTGGAGAATCGTACTGCAGATATCATTCAGGAAACCCGAAAGCTGCAAATAAGGAAAAAAGATGGCAGCTCTGTTCCGCAGAATAATGCATCAAATATTAGTGGTACACGTCAGCAACCTCTGACACGGACCCACATGCATCCCCAGACGCAGACAGATTTAGAAACTCAACTCAAGGCATCTCGCGACGTAAGGTGGCAAATGTGTGACACTGGTTTAGCAATAAATTACAATGCTCTAGTGGTTTACATGCTCGATTCTAATTTTATTGATTTCGTCGCTTTGCTACTAAGAAGCAAGTAGTCCAACAGATTTAATTTATGTCACTGGAAGTCACTTGGTGGCTTTGATGTGCTTATGTGCTTATCTGTGCAAGTGCATGACTTTGTCAGACCTAGAGATGTTACCTGCTTTTATTCTTTTATTGTTTCTTTTTGTTAACTGATTGGATCCAGAAGATTCCCAGCTTTCAATATTTTCTCTGGATCTTGTGGATTAAGGGGTTCTTTCATTATTCAGATTTCATACTTTCTTTGTCAACATTAGAATGCGAAACATACTGTTCACCATCGTTATGGAAATATAGAATAGGTAATATGCTGGCATCTCATTGTATTATCTACCCCAAGATATTGTTGATCCAGGAACTTGTACTGAGTTTTTTTTAAAGAATTTAATCTCTCTGACTGTGCTGGCCTTAAGATCAGTGAAGATCCTAGAGAAGGAAGTTTCTATGGATGCTCCTGAATGCTGGTTTTATGCCTTGGAAATTACATATTTTAGTTGTGAGATGCTGATATGTCTGTTTTGGGTTACAGGTTGCAATGGCAATGGCTGCAAAAGCAAAGCTTCTTCTTCGGGAGCTGAAGACTGTGAAAGCTGACCTAGCTTTTGCTAAAGAACGTTGTGCGCAGCTGGAAGAAGAAAATAGGATTCTTCGAGTGAGTCGTGAAAAGGGCGACAATCCTGAAGATGATGATTTGGTATTCCCACTCTCCCTTCTTTATGTCAAAGGAGAATAATTTGCAGAATAAGTAAAAACACAAAACAATAACAGAAAGTTTGAAATAAACCAATTCAATATCTTTGTTCATTTCATTTGATGGTTAAGGCAATTGACTTTTGCAATTTTATGTTTCCTAGCTGCATACGTTGGCAGCTAAACTTTCAATATATGTTGATCTTTGTGTCCAATGGCACAGGGATTTACTGGACCTGCTTTTATGGGGTTTGTTAGGGTGGATCATTTCGCTTTGTGCCCATAATTCATGGCATGCAGTAATAAGCAGTCGTGCCTGCTTTTTCTTGTGCACTTCTTGCAGATTTCTGTTCTTTTCGAAAAGTTTGTATTGATGGAAATACTTGTGGTTGTGATATGCACATACAGATAAGGCTCCAGCTCGAGACTCTTTTGGCAGAGAAGGCTAGGTTGGCTCAAGAGAACTCAGTCCTAACACGGGAGAACCGTTTCTTGAGGGAGATTGTTGAATACCACCAGCTCACCATGCAGGATGTCGTCTACCTCGATGAAAATAGTGAAGAGGTGACTGAAGTGTACCCCATAAAGGTACAGACTTACCTTGATATGCTATTATCGCTGCATATTTTCTATCTTCTTCAAGTTAATTAGCTCCTCTCACCCCAGGTTGTGAGTCCACAAGTGACCAAGGATATATCATCTCATCCTGTGTCATCCTCGGAGCCCATGGAGGTTTCGTGTGATGTCACCTCTTTGAGCTCTTTTATCCAAATTCCTGCTGAAGATGATTCAGGAAGACATTGATTTTCCGTTCTTGGAATGTATTGCGTGTGCGTCTGATCTCCAAAACGAAGTGTGAATGGGTGTTACAGTGTGATTTATGTTGGTTGAACCTGGCCATCCTGAAACTGAAATATGTATAACTATTAACCTTTTGGTATCATTTATCTTTTCTTTTCTTTTTTAGACTATTTTTGGGGTTGGAAAAGAAGAATGCACTGGGGATGGGGGGAAAGGTGAAAGGTGGCTTGTTAAGTTATGCCGTAAGTTTGCTGGTTCTCTCTGCAACAAGATGGAGGTCGTTTTGCAAATGTATATTAACATGGAGAATTAATATAATGCTTCTGTAATTGACTTTAGTCTGTTCCACTCTTTATGTTGTCCAAATTGGTTTGAAAATGGTTGGCGAACTACTTAAATTAGAGTTGAGTTTTGAGTAGTTAAATTTTATTTCTTTAAAAAAATTGGCAGTTCCTTGTGCATAATGATTATTATCCTTTTTATGGTGGAAGTCTTGCCTGACACCAGTTCGGCATGTGAAGTTCGATTAATCTAAATATAGAGTAGTTTCATTTCATTTGCTTTCAATGTGCTTCTACGGCTTACATAGGTCTAGTCATGTAATTTATCTTTTTTTAAGCATTATTAGGGGATCAAGCAAGCAAACATTTCTCTGTACTGGTGTCTCTCCCCCTCGACACCGCGTAGCCTTTTGTAATAGCTTTTATTAGTGTAATCAAACTTTCATTCTCAATTCTCATTTTAGCTTCTACAATTGCTTGTCATTGGTTTCCGTATGGCACTGTCAATCTCTTCTATCGTACGGAGGGGACCTCAGTTGGCACACAACAACCGCACTGATATTGGTTGCTTNTTGAACTTTCTTCTATATTTCGTTTGTTCAGAACAATGTCCTAAAGTCCATTAACAAATATCTTTTAGAGATACCAAGTTACACAGAGCATATGTACTCAGTCACATGTTCTAGGTAATTAACAATGACAGATCCAAGATTTAAACTGAGTTATATATGTTCTCACGGTATATATTCACATATATGTAGGATTTTATCCGACAAACTAAGTCCTGCTAAATCTGCAAACTCATTGAGATTTAAACGGCTGTGGGTTTCGAGTTGAAAGACTAAGTTCTAAAATGTATATCTAGCTCCATTTATACTTGATTCAAAAATGGTCGTCCATAAGTCAAGTTGAGAGTCAAGAGTCCATATATTCTGTAGTGAAGCATTGGTATTGTCACGTGTGCAGAAGCTCCCATGTCTCAACAGGCAAGAGTTGAGGTCCCCATTTTCACCTTGATGGTCTAATCTATAATATATATTGCTGAATTGTCTGAATATGACTGGCTTTACTTTCGAGTAAATGCACATAAAATGCGGTGGACTCTTCTCTAGATACAGCTGTATTGTATGGTTGTTGCTCCCCATTTATTTGCTTTCCTTTTTCATATACTCATTAATTACTTGCATACCATTTACTCCATTACCCGTTATAATTAATCACCACCAGATCTTTTTTTTTTTTTACTTTCCAAAATTTTGTGCTTGTGGTTTTCCTCCTTAATATCCTAATGACAACTACGTTTCTGTAGAAAATAATCCACACTTGTGAATATGGGTGCATACAAGATTGTTGTAATCTCTCTCCTGCCCTAAAAAAATCATTTTTGTATGTCTCACAAGGATGGAAACTTTTCCTGCAGCTTCCAAATTGCAGTTCATCAAGAGAAATTTCACGCAGATCTTCACTCTCTAATGTTTTTTGTTGCATTTCTTCTCTACATTATCCTTCTTCTGCCAGTGCTGAATGCTGAATCAACAAATGCAGAATTTTCAGCACGTTTGCTTGATTCAGTACTTCAAGATTATGCTTTCAGAGCATTTGTTAGGCCAAGAACTGGGATTCCTTACAATGGCAATGTGCCTTCCAATTTCAGTGGTATAAAAGTTGGTGCTCTGAGGCTGAGAAGTGGAAGCATGAGGAGAAGGGGTGTTAGCAGATATGAAGAATTTCATATCCCAATTGGTGTTTTGGAGCAGCCTTATGTAGAGAGGCTTGTTTTAGTATATCACAATTTAGGCAATTGGTCCAGTTTGTATTATCCTTTACCTGGTTACACTTATCTAACACCAGTTTTGGGTATTTTATCTTATGATGCTTCCAATTTATTAGCTAAAAATCTGCCAGAGTTGGATATCAGAGCATCAGAGAAGCCCATTTTGGTTAATTTTTCTAGTGTAAAGCCAATGCCAATGCCAATGGCTAAGTGTGTCTACTTTAATTTGGATGGTGCAGTGGAATTTGACAATGTGATTAGTGGAAATATTTGCAAGACTACCAAACAAGGCCATTTTGCTATAGTGGTTGAGTTCACTGCTGCTGAGCCAGAACCTGGCAGTGGAGGTAGTGGCAGTAGTAGTAATGGCAAAAGTGGTGATAGAAAAAAATGGGTAATTTTTGGATCAGTGGTTGGCGGATTTGTGGCTTTGGTTTTCTTGGTTTTATTGATTGCTTGTGTAAACAAGTGTGATAAGCAGAAAAAGATTGGGAGAATGGAAGAGGCAGCAGAAAGAGGTGTGCCATTGCTGATGACAAGAGTTGGGAATACTAAGGCACCAGTGGCTTCACAGACTCGTACAAGACCTTTGTTAGAGAATGAATATCTGCCATAGATCATACTCATTTAATTCAATTCTTTTCTGCACTTTGATTTTGTATCTTTGAATTCTGGTGTACATTCTATTTTCTTTGTTTTACCACCTTTGATGAATACCATCTTAGACTTTGCTATCAGCCTACCACAAATGCTTTACAATTGTAAATTTAATCAAAATCAACCTTAGCTTTGCTGATTTTGATGAGGTCCAACCTTCAACACGACATTAGTGGCTTAGCTTTTCGAGAGTAAGGGGTAATGAGAAAAGAAAAAAGCTGAGTTGGCCAACTCCTCCTCCCCAGTCCCTTATTTTATTTTGTTTTAAACAATGGTAAATTAATCAAAATTGAGTTGACCCAACGTGGTCTGGAAGTTCCAAAATTGATGCTTGAAGAAAAGGGAAGTGACCTTACTTAAACCGAAAATAAAGAATCAAACAAATAAACAGCCTAGCACGTTAAAAGTTGACTTTCTTGAATGCTGCAGCTCAAATGTATTCCATTTCCAAACATCCTATTCCAAATTATATTCCCTTTTTAGGCTCCCCTTTGTCCAAATTTCTGATGAATTCAACAGGTTATTTCTACATAATTCTCTGTTTTCTAATTGCTACTGTGGTTGGATCTGAATCAATTACTTCAGACTCATCTGCTAAAAACTCACTTGATTCCTTACTTCAGCAATATGCATTCAGGGAATTGAGGTGGCCAAGAGTCAGAACTGGTGTTCCTTATGATGCATATGTCCCTTGTAACTTGCCAGGAATTAAAATTTCAGCATTGATGCTTACAAGATACAGCTTAAAATGGAGATCGTATGGGTATTATAAAGAATTCCTTATCCCTTCTGGGGTCATTGAGGAACCATATGCAAGGAAACTTGTTCTGGTTTACCAAAACTTGGCTAATTGGTCCTCTTTTTATTATCCTTTGCCTGGTTACACTTATCTAACTCCGCTTTTGGGTATCTTGGCTTATGATGCTTATGATTTGTATGCTAAAAATGTACCAGAATTAGATATTTTAGCATCGGAAGATCCTATCACTATCAAGTTCCACAATGTGCAGCCTGCACCACAAGGGTCTTTGCCCAAGTGTGTTTATTTCTACTCAAATAATTTGGTCGAATTTGGGGATGTCACAGATGGAAATATTTGTTTAACTAGAATACAAGGCCATTTTGCTATAGTTACTGAGGTGAAAGTTGCTCCAAGTCCTCCTCCTAGTGCTCCAAGTCCTTCTCCTGCATCTGATAAAATTGCTCCGAGTCCTTCTCCCACAGCTGGTGGAATTGCCCCGAGTCCTTCTCCCACAACTGATAATATTGCCCCGAGTCCCTCTCCTACAGATGATGGAATTGCCTCAAGTCCTTCTCCCACAACTGATAATATTGCCCCGAGTCCCTCTCCTACAGATGATGGAATTGCCTCAAGTCCTTCTCCCACAGCTGGTGGAATTGCTCCGAGTCCTTCTCCCACAGCTGGTGGAATTGCTCCGAGTCCTTCTCCCACAGCTGATGGAATTGCCCCGAGTCCTTCTCCTACTGCCGATGATCATAATCATCAAAAGTTCAACTCTAAAGCGTGGACTATTTCATCGCTATTTCTAATATTTGGTCTCTTGGGAATATTGGTTGTTATTGTTAAAAAGTATAGATTATTCGAAATAAGAGAGAGGTTGGCAGGAGTTGTTGAGCCCTTGTTAGAGAACACAGAGGCGCCATTGCCATTGGAAGCTCCAACTAGACTGTTGACGTAGAATGATTATGTGCTTTAGGTTACACAAAAACTATTCACCCAAGTGACAAGAAATACATAGTGTATAATCATTTCTCGCAGCATTTAAAACACTAATTCATATGCTGACTTGCTTACTTAGGTACAACTTGTTTGTTATATTTTTGAACATATGATGATTCAATTGTGCCTTCTTTAACCTTGACTAATCATTGGATCAATAAAACATAAATGCATACATGTTGGAAGATTGAAGTATCATCCAAATATTGGTATACTGATCAGTATCTGGAAATGTGTGAAAGACTAACAAAAAAAGCCTTTTTTTCTACACTATTGCTGAGCCATTTTTTGCTTTGGTTTTATTGATTGCTTGTCTAAGAAGTTGAGAATGAATATCTGCCATAGATCATATATACTCATTTGCCTTGACAAAAGTTTTTAGCATCATCTGGTAATCCGGATTCAAGATTTTTCTAACATTTAATTCAATTTTTTTCACCACTTTCTTTGTGTTTTTCAGTTCTGGTATACATTCTATTTACTTTGTGTTATCACCTTTGGTGATTACTAGCTTAGACGTTGCTTTTACACATCCTTTACAACTGTAAATACTTCAAGATATTCACCAACGTAACGTGGTCTTGAAGTTCCAAAACTGTTGCTTCAAGAAAGAGGAAGTGACCTTCCTTAAACCGAAAACAAAGAACCAAATAAATAATGGTTTTACATTATAAGGTTAAGAATTTTGATGATATCATTGTAATTTAACCTATTATAACAAGTTATTTACTCTATTTTAAGAGTTGCCAGTCTCTTCTCACGTGTGTTATACGTGTAATGTCAAAACAATAAATAAGTGAACCAAACCAATGTTACTCAACAGTGGTGACCCCGAGCTTAGTAGCCTCGAGATGAATTAAGAGCAATGAAGTAAGAACAATAAATGTAAAGGACAATTCTGATGAATAGTAAGAGAGAAAAGTAGGATAGTATATTCTTTGCCATTGATCAGATGATCTTTGCAAATGATTGGGGTCCCCCTTATATAATAGGAGAACCCTAAAATATGGTACATTTCTATTTACAGTAAGGAATCTTATTGGGAACAATTGTATAACCGCCTAGTACGGATTTGTACTAATTCGTACAAATCTATTATGAAATTTACGCCATAATCTAGGGACGTAGCGGGAATCTTGTCCTTCAGTAACAAACTCATAATGACATTGTTTCGGAGTCGGTCGTACTTGGCTCCGATGTTCCTCGAATATTTAGGTCTTCGAGCCTCTTATTCTACCTTCGAGCCCAAGCTTGGTCTATATCGAACTTTTGTCCTCGATGCGACATCTCGAGCCTACAAAGTTGGATGCATATGATTTTGACCGTATACATCGAGCTCGCTCCTAGTCTATTTCGATCTCAGTCTTGAAGTGACCCTCGAGCCCACGAAATTGGGTAGCCCCGATTTCTAACATATATAAATAGTCCTCGCGTTTCTTAGAGTGTAACGACAAGAAATGAATTGAGTCCTTAATCTTTATCCCGATTTGCCACGACATCATCATCGTGACGTAAGCGACTGAGGAAACGAGAGCTTGGAAGTTGGCCTTTCTCGAGGAGAACTCCAAGAACTTTTAGCAAGTCCGGCAGCAGGGAAGGTTCTGAGAGAGAAGACACTTCTGGCGATAAGGACCGTGCCGCTTAGGTTTCGTGCTCTTAGTAATTTTTTGCTTTTGAGGCTGATCGGCCCTTGCGAGGAACTCTTGTCGTGACCTATAGCTCTTGTAAAAAGGTTTATACAAAGCCTTTTTCCTTCCATGGATTCTGAATCCGTTACCCTTTTGTGCAGGTCAAAGCGCCTTATCATAAAATTCCTTTTGAATGTCCAAAGTTTGAGATGGTAATGGCTGATAATAAGTTATGCCCTCAAACGTTTCTGATCAATGGTCCCCGAATGACCATTGAACTTGAGTTTTAGGCTCAACAGTCGATGAGGTAAGATAGATCTCGGGCTTGATATTCGAGTGAGTGCACGCTTGAACTTGAAATGAAAATAGCCCTTAGGCCTTATGGCCAAATGAGGACATGCTCGAACTTGAGATGAGGTGGCCCTTGGGCTTGAAAGATAGTCCTCGATTGAGAATTTTCTCGAATTGGGGTAGCCCTTGGGCTTAGTAGTCAAGTGAGCACTTACTCGAACTCGAAATGAAGTTAGCCCATAGTTTTTACGGATAGTCCTCGAGTGAGGGTTTGCTCGAACTCGGGTTAAGATAGCCCTTGGGCTTTTATGATCGAGTGAGGACTTGCTTGAACTCGAATTGAAGTTAGCCCATAGGCTTATGGATAGTCCCCCAGTGAGGGTTTGCTTTAACTTGGGTTAAGATAGCCCTTGGGCTTTTATGATTGAGTGAGGACCTGCTCGAACTTGAAATGAAGTTAGCCCATAGGCTTTATGGATAGTCCCCGAGTGAGAATTTTCTCAAACTCGGGTAGCCCCTTGGCTTAGTAGTCGAGTGAGTACTTGCTCGAACTCGAAATGAAAATATCCCTTAGGCTTTATAGTCGAGTGAGGATTTGCTCGATCTCGAAGTAAAGTTAGTCCTTAGGGTTTTTTATATTGGCCCTTAGGCTCTTTAAGTTGGGCCAATTCGGCCTCTAAGACGGCTATACTTTTTCTCTTTTTGGCTAAAAGACTTAGTGAAAATTTCTTTATGTCTTAGCATGTGTTTTTTGTACCCGTTGGTTTCTCGAGGGTTCAATCGATCAGAGCCCGTTCGTGTTAATACCTCTTGTGGCTTTTTTTGAAGGCTGATGTTATCGAATCCTTTAAATTATTCGAAGGCTAATTTTATCGAAGCCCTTTTTTCTTTTACCGAGGGTAGCCGAGTTTAATCGGTTTGCGAAGTATTTGAAGGCTTTTAATTATGGCGGAAGTCGGATGTCTCTGAGCCGCATTATTTCGGCCGTAGCCTTTTACACGACCGTAGTCTTTAATATGGCAGTAGCCTTTAATATGGCCATAGCCTTCGGGTATGTCTCTTGGACTTATTTCCCGATAAACCTTTTGAACTTGTTCGAAAGGTTACTCCCCGAGTATGTGTAACGATCCGGCCGGTCTTTTTAAGAATTAACGCCTCGATCCCCTATTAACTATTTTCCTCGTGTTTGTTTCTGCTATTGTGAGTTATTGGGAGGATTTGTTTTGAGTTTCAGAGTGTTTTGGGACACTTAGTCCCCAAATGAGAGTTTAAGCTTTAGAATTTGGATTGTAGTTGGAGTAGTGTGAAGACGGCCTCGGAATGGAATTCCGTGGATTTCGTTAGCTCCGTTGGGTTATTTCGGGCTTAGGGGCGTGTTCGGATTGTGTTTTCGAGGTCCGTAGCTTATTTAGGCTCGAAATGCCGAAAGTTGAATTTTTGAAGTTTCTGGATCGATAGTAAAATTTTGATATCGGGGTCGGAATCCAATTCTGAATGTTGGAATAACTCTGTAATGTTGAATGTGACTTGTGTGCAAAATTTGGGGTCAATCGGACTTGGTTTGGTTGGTTTCGGCATCGGTTGTAGGTTTTTGAAATTTCAAGTTCTTTAGGCTTGAATTGGAGGGAGATTTGTGGTTTTAGCGTTGTTTGATGTGATTTGAGAGTTGGAATAAGTTTTTATGATGTTTTAGGATTGGTTGACATGTTTGTTTGAGGTCCCGGGGGCCTCGGGTGAGTTTCAGATGCTTAACGGAAGTTGAATTGGACTTAGGCTATTTTCTGAAGTTGCTGCTTCTGGTATTTTTGCACCTACGGTGAGGAGCCTGCAGGTGCGGCCCACATATGCGAGGAAGTAGGCACAGGTGCGATTTGGGGCACTGATGGCCAGTGGCCGCAGATGCGGTTATAGGGACGCAGAAGCAGACCGCATCTGCAGAGAAAGGAGCGCAGGTGCGGTACCCGCTCGTTTAATGAAATCTCGCAGGTTCGAGTCCCCAGCCGTATAAGTGGGACTGCAGGTGCGGTCCCATGACCGCAGATGCGGAAATCGCTGGGCAGAAATATGAAATTTTGAGGGTTTGAAGCTCATAACACCAAATTTGATTTTTGGCCCGGGAGAAGGCGATATTGGGAAGATTTTGAAGAGGAAATCAGTGGGTAATGAATCCTTATCCCTTTCTAGTTGTATTCCATTATTCTAATCTTAGTTTTGTCATTTAATCTCAAATTTGAGGTAAAACAAATTGGGAGAATTGAGGAAAAGTTCCCCAACTTAAAATCTGAGTTTTGAGGGAGATTTTGGCATCGGATTTTGATAATTTTTGTTCGAGTGTGCTCGTGAGTGAATGGGTGTTCATAATCCGTAACTTTTATCCGATTCCAAGACGTGGGCCCGAGGAGGATTTTTGGGCGTTTTTCTATTTTCTACCTAGCTTCGATTCCTTTAGCTAAATTCGTTGTTTGTAATTACATTTACATTATGAAGTTTATTTGATTAAATTTGGGCCACTCGGAGTTGGATACTCGTGGAAAGAGCATAGTTTCAGATTGATTTTTAAGCTGGTTCGAGGTAAGTGGCTTGCCTAACCTTGTGTGGGGGAATTCCCCTTAGAATTTTGATATTGTTGTTATTTTAGTGTCATGTACGTGAGGTGACGAGTGCGTACACGTGCTAATTGTTGAAAACCCCCATTTTTATTAAGTAAATATCTATGTTTTCTTGTAATTGAGCAATACTTGTACTTGAAGCCTCTTGTTTAGTTTAGGAAAATCATGCTTATATGATCTAATTGTCTTACCTGCTTTAACTGCTTACTTGTATTCTGTGCAGCATGTTTAGAGTAGAATTCCTGTTTATTCTCATATAGAACTGTAGATTCTTTCTTGAGACTGTTGTGTGTTTACTTTAGGACTAAGAGACTATATCCCGAGAGATCCCCCTGCATGTTTACTTTGAGATTACAGATCGGTATTCCGGGAGATCCTCCTGCACGTTTACATTTGGGACTATGGGACGACACCCGAGAGATTTCCCTCTACTGGATATTTACTTTGGGACTACGGATTGGTATTCCGGAAGATTCCCCTACATGTTTATGATTCGGACTATGGGACAATATCCCGGGAGATCCTCTGCACATTTACGTTTGGGACTACGGGACGATATCCTGGAGATCCCCTGTTGCTATCTTTGTGTACTGAGTATATTCTGTTTGTGATTTTACTC